GTACATTTACATTTATCCAAAGCGAATAACAATTGATGATAAAAGAAGCACATCAAATCAAAAGAGTTGCAGTATGTAAACGCTATGATCCGCCTAAGTTACTTAGTCTACAAGTCTAAGGTGTTGTTTGTTTGTTTGTTTGCTTGTTGAAAAGGGAGGAGAGAGTGTGTCCAGGGGGTGAAGGTGGTTAAGAAGTATTAGGTACATAAAAGAAAGTGTCTGGTACATGTGATACACACCTACAGGTGGTTTGTAAAGCCCACTCACCTGCGTGAAGCACACTAAGAACTGCAAGAGGTCTTCCAGAAACATGGAGTGTTGATGGGTTCACGGTGATGCAGTGGGTAGCATGATCGCCTCACAGCAAACAGGTCTCTGGTTCAAGCCTAGGCTGGGTCAGTTGGCGTTTCTGTGTGGAGTTTGCATGTTCTCCCCGTGTTCTCGAGGGTTTCCTCCGGGTGATCCAGTTTCGACCACAAGTCCAAAGACATGCCGTACAGGTAAAAAAGGTTGGCTAAATTGTCCGTAGTGTATGTGTGTAAATGAGTGTGTATGGATGTTTCCAAAGACATGCGGTAACAGGTGAATTGGGTAGGCTAAATTGTCTATAGTGTATGTGTGTGAATAAGTGTGTATGGATATTTCCCAGTGATAGGTTGTGGTTGGAAGGGCATGCGCTGCGTAAAGCATATGCTAGATAGGTTGGCGGTTAATTCCGCGGTGGCAACCCCAAATTAATAAAGGGACTAAGCTGAAAAGAAAGTGAATGAATGAATGAATGAATGGAGTGTTGATAAAGAGCCTGATGCATACAGAGAAGACAGGTTGTGTCCTACAGATGATTTGTAAAGCTCACTCATGCACCTGTGTGAAGCACACTCAATTGCAGTCTTGTTGGTGGGCAGTTAAATGATTAAGTATTGATGATGAGTCTTCAGATGCTTCTTGAAAATGGTCAGAGACTCAGCTGCTCACGTAGAGTTTGGTAAGTTATTCCACCAGGATGGAACAATAAAGGTTCCATCCAAAGGTCTTTGCATTAGATTTTCAGTACCCAAGAGCAGATAAGCTTCAAGTAGTGTGCTCAAATGAATTGTAATCGAAATTAAAAATAAAGTTTCAGTATTGTTGAAAGAACAATATTTGTTTGACACTTTTGTTAATGGTCTGAATTTACTGTCACGTTTGATCACTTTACAATTTTTGTTAGTAAAAAGTAACCATTTGTCAAATTGATTACAAACATTTCTTCAAAATACCTTTTTCTGTTCAGAGGAGGAAAGTATGTCATACACATTTTTAAGTGAACTAAACAAACTCTTTTATGGGTCATATCTGATGCATTGAATAATGCTGGGAAATTGCGTTACAGTAGTGGAATAAAAAATATTTTGTCCAAGAACGCAAAGTACATACCGTCTGCAAGTGCTCATTAAAAAAATGAGAATAAATGACTGAGATAAGCCATGCCTTTGAACTTCCCAAAGACCTATTTGCTGGAATTGTACCTACAGAAGCAAAGATAAGGACACAGCATGCAGCAAATATCTGATCTGATCTCATTCCTGAAAGTCCTCTTATAGTTCACCTAAAAATAAAAATTAACTCACTGTTTAATTACCCTTGAGTGGTTCCAAACCTTTGAGTTTCTTTTTTTTTTGTTAAACACAAAGTAAGATTTTTAAAAGAATGTTTAATAACTGTAACCTCCCATAGTAAGAAAAGCACAATGGAAGTCAATGCTTACCACTTTCCAGCATTTTTCAAAATAATTATTTTGTGTTCAACAGAAGAAGGAAACTCAAACATGTTTGTGACAAGTGTGAGGAAAATGACCATATAATTTTAGTCAAAGCGTATCCCTTTAACTGTTTTTTAGTGGTTTTTACTGGATCTAGACAGCAAGATTCTACAATAAGTTGTACGTTCTGTGTTGTGTTAGACAGTGATGATAAGAAGTTTTCACTGAACGTGAATGTGCATGCATGTGTTTGTTTCGTTATCTGGTTATATTGGTTGCATTTTTATTTCGCTGTTCGCTGATCAATAACTAAATAATAACACCAGGGGGCAGTATTATACATTTTGCCAGAGTTTATACTCCCTCTCGTATGATGGGATTCGATGCAGACTCAGTTCTTCTGGCTTGACTGTTCACCAGATCTGTCTGCACAGAAAGTGTTACTCTAGTGGAACTTTTAATGTGCACTTCTTTGGTTACAGTTTCCCATGTACATGACACAATGTTCCAGCAACACGCCGTCTGCACAGAAACCACTTCCTCTGAAGTCAGGGGGCGAAGGGGAAAAAGTAGAGGCCTTCAGGAAGGAGACAGGAGAGGAACTGATGAACTGATGTCTTTGTGGAATATAAGAAGAAGAAGGTGTGTAACAGGGGACATGGGCATGATAGCTGAACTTTAATGAATTAACTTTAAAGGGAAATATCAACCAAAAATATGTACATGACATGAACATTTTGAAACATCTTTCAAAATAAC